CATGCATGTATCCATGAGAAAATCTAGTACATACTTCTTCTGGGACAAGATCATCCCTTTAAGTCCACAGGTCACTTCAATCCAAAGAAAATATCCGAGTTGTTGAAGATCCTTCACCTCAAATTCATTACCCAATCTTACCTTTAGTTGGGCAATATCTGCCTCATCATCACCGGTGATAAAAATGTCATCAATATATACAATAAGTATACTGGTGTGACCTTCATGTTGTCGAAAGAATATTATATGATCTACTGATATCTCATATCCACCACAGTCTTTCTAAATTTTTCAAGTCAGGCTCTAGGAGACTGCTTTAAGCCATATAGTGACCTCTGGAGCCTACACGCCTTGCCCACTATCTGGACTATACCAAATCCTAGTGTTATCTCCATACTCACCATGAAGAAATACATATTTTACATCAAGTTGGTGTAACCTCCATCCACCATTCACTGCTAGAGAAATTAATGTCCTCACTTTGCTCATCTTTATTATTGATGCAAAGGTTTTATCATAGTCAATGTCATATATCTGAATGTACCCTTTCGCCACCAGAAGCATTGTAGCGCTTTACCTTCCCTTCTAGAGTTTCTTCACTGTAAAGATCCACTTGCACCCAACTATCTTTTTTTCTTATCGGTAATGACACTATCTCCCATGTTTGATTTTTATCGAGAGCCCTAAATTGTTCATGCATAGCCACTTTCCACTTGGGATCCTCCATAGAAACCTGCCAACACTTGGGTATAGAGAAAGTGTCCAAGGATGCAAGGAATGCTCCATCTAAATGTGATATGTTAGAATATAAGACAAAGTTAGCCATGTCATGTTCTCACCTAAAATGATGTCCTACTTTGCTGTGAGAGGTATTCCTTAAAGTTAGAGGGTTAGGAGAAGAATGTCGAAGAATCATATCACCTAATAGTTCTAAGTCGGAGGAGGATGGAGTAGGTGTCTCAAGGGTCAAGGAAGACCCGAACAAAGGACTAGCTGGCACAAATGACACTGTAGGCACTGTTCTCTCATTTTGCTTCCTTATCTGTGTAAACACTCTTAGCTCATTTTCAGCCTGAATCTCCCCATCTCTGGGCTCACTCATTTTTTGAATCCTCAACTGATTTGTTTCACATCACAAAACAAGGCATCGCTACCACGTGTACCTCTCTCACCATTGCTACTCACCCCCTTGCCTCATATCTCCAGTATCTGGCGAGTCGCCAAAGAGAAAGGTCGCTTCCTCGGTGTAGTATAGTTCAAATTATCTAAATGACACATCCATGCTCACAAACAGTCTCTTCTTTCTTAGCTCCAACAGACATGCCCCTTCTGGGTAGCAGAATAACCTACAAACACATTTCACAATTATGGGATACAACTTCCCTATTGCAATCTGTTATCATTCACAAAGCAAACACATCAAAACACCTTCAATTAGAGATTCTGCTATTATCTACTTTCAACATCTAATAAGGAGACTTCCAATCCAACACCCTCGAAGGCATCCTGTTGATCAATTGAGCAACTGTCAAAACCACTAACCCCCCATAAGTGCTTTAGGATATTCATTATAATCAACATATTTCGGGCTACCTCTAGAAGATTTCTATTCTTCCTCTCCACTACTCAATTTTGTGCATGTATGTATGGACATGAGGTTGATGTTGTATCCCTTGAGCTGACAAGTATTCCCAAAATATTTTTGTGGTATAATCTGTCCCATTATTAGACCTCAAAACATTCACTACTGCATCATATTAAGTCTGGATTGTCTTGTGGAAGTCTTTAAAATAAGAAACACATCGCCCTTATTTTTCATCAAATATAACTAGGCAACATGAGAAAAACAATCAATAAATGTCATAAAATATTGATAATCATTCATAGAATATGTACAACAAGGTCTCTAAATATCAGAATATATCAACTAAAAAATAATTGCCTTTCATAAAAAAAAATAATACAACCGACTCAATAAACTAAAACAAGAGTGTCTCATGCGTTTGTTATGTAGCAGTAACACATTTTCCACTCTTCCCAGATTCTCCTACTCCATTACTCTATACCATGTATGTAATAAGTTCACCCCCTCCAGACCTAGTAAGAGTCCACTATGCCACGTTCCAGTTTCACGTATCCGAACTGTACCTTTCTATTGGAAAATCATCATAAAAATATCAAAAAGAACAACAAAGTCTAGTTGGAGAATAATATCACTAATCAAGAAAGAGTATGTAAAATATTGAACAAAGTAATATAATTGGTACCATTTACTGTAGCATTACCAAAGATTGTGTTCGACTATTAGCAGTCTGGATGCTCTCTAGTACTGTTAGGAGAATCAAGAAAGAAAATTCTCTAGCAATATCTGTCACATGTCGAGATGCACAAGAATATTCCTATGATGGAAATAGATGCAAAAGCATATGTATCACAAATACATTTGTCAGAGTGAGCAAATCCTTTGATGATGATTAGTTGAAAGAAGCCTCAACCCCATATTCTACTATTTTTTATTTCCACTTCAACAACTACAGACACTCATGATCCTCATTGGTAAAAACCACACTTTTCTCTCCCACCTCTGCTATCATCAGATTTGTTCGGTAGCCCATTTTTCACCTTTTCGACCATCACAGCCACGACCACAGGCTCCACCCTGTCTGCATGCACCTGTCTCTCTCCTTCGGTATCCTAAGAGAAATCTTGCTCACAAACCCAACTTCACCACAATTATAGCACTTGCGAGTCTCCCCCTGGACACCTATCATACCTAATCTCGAGGCAGCCAAAGCTAATAGCGCACCCAGAAACCCACTCGGCTCAGAGTGCAGCTTCATGTGACTCTCCTTTATCATCACAACATTGACATCATCCAGTGAAGAGATAGTCGCCTAAGCTTGATCAAAAGTTGGGTCCAAATGGGCCAGCAATTGCATAGTCCTCATCTATGCAAAGATCTCCCCTTTCTTGCGCTTTGGGTCGACACAGATGAAAATCTACCTATAGTTGCCCAGATATATGGCGTATTCTTGAATCGATCTATTCCCCTGTACCATTGCTTCTATCTTATGTTGAATCTAGAATACCCTCATATGGTTTTCCATCCTAGCATAAATCCTCATCAGCTTTGGTCAGATATCCCTTACCTTTCGAATGTCATCTACTGAGGATACAATAAACAAAACCATCGAGTTGAGTAGCTAGGTGTAGATTAAAGCATGTGTGGTCATCCATTTATCCCCCCAGCACTGTCACTCTTCGGTTCATCCCCGGTCAGATAAACCTCTAGTCTCTTCCCTACTAAAGAAGCCTCGATCCAACACAACCAACTCAGATAATTAACAAGTCCATCAAGCTTCAGATCCACATGAGGGAGGTTTAGCTTCCCGTGTCAGAGCATGTTCTGAGGTAGAGGCTCCCGTCGAGACGTTAGCTCTCTATATGAGCCTGACCAAGACCTTCAGAACTTTGAGATCTATCTTCGCCGGAAGCTTCAATCCTTTACCTCCTGCACTATCTCCATCTCTTGACATCCTCAATAACAAGGATCCAAGCCTAGATCATACAGATCTAATCACACATCCTTCATGTCAGTACGCCGCAATCCTGTCGTTGCCTTCCCATTTAGCTCTAATCGCGGCTGTATCATCGCGATCCCGTCGTGGCGTCCCTGGGTAGCTTCAATCGCGACTATATCACAAAACTCCAAGTCGTGATCCCGTCATTACCTTCCTGGTTCCAATCGTGGCCTCGCTGGTAGCTCAGATCTCGACTGTATCGCAAAATTTAAAATGTGATCCCGCTGTTAACATCTCAGGTAGCTCCAATCACAGCTGTATCGCGAAAGTTCAAGACACCATCCCATCGCTAGCATCCCACGTAGCTCAATTCGGGCATGTATCACGAAACTTCAAGTTGCGATCCCATCATCCAGAAAAGGCTGCTTCGTCGACGAAGAGGAAGGTAGAGGAAGTTTTGGGTCCTTGTACACTCGATCCCGACTATCAAGCACTAAGGACGACAGCTAGGATTAGGGCCCTGATACCATGAAGAAAGAATTATTCATAACCTATTTTGTAGATTCATAGCATGGGCTTAAATAGGGTATTACAATATTTTACAAATAAAACCATAAACTTCTTCAATATCCCCTTTTACCAATAAGACCTAAATAAGACCCAATTCTCAACAGTCACTTATGATAGAGAAGCACATAAATAACAATCATAAGAAATTGTGAATCTAAGTTTTAAGGAGGCAGCGCCAAATTTGACATTTGACTATATGGACAACTAGAGCCAGATTGGCATCGTAACTGCTCGACAACAATCTTCTCAGCCATAGAGTTACTCAGTTCATGGCATCTTTCAAAAGCCTAGTGAATTTCTCTAGGACACTCCAATTTCTCTCATCTTTCACAGATTTCTCTTGGCAGCACTATAGCATATTCAAGTTCTTCTCAACAACATTGTAATTCTCTCAACAAGTCCCCGTCTCAACAGCCAATCTCCCAGTTTAACTTCCTCATGCTTACCCGAGCACTTGAACTTTTTATAAAGCCATTTCTCAACCAACAAGTCAATATTTATTTTCAAGAAGGCCAGATTATATGAATAAATCTATTAATTAAATAGAAATCGAGCTGAATTTATGGAAGAAAATGCACTGAAGTTGCACTGACAAATACGATCTCATGCATGCAAGTAAAAATAGTTATAAAGTTATAGTCTCATGATACTTGAACAATCAGAATAAGCCCTTCTGCTAATGTAAGTTTATTAAGCCGATTTACCTTGAACGATTGATTACATAACAATGACTAAAATCACAGATCATACAACAAAGAACATAAGCTCCTACTTTCCAAGACAAGGAATCATATAATTAGTATTTGGTATTTACAGAAAATATCATTCTTGAATCATATGAAACATAAGTACTACAAAACAAATCGCAGCATATATCACTTAAATGAATGATGCTAAGCTTATCTTTACCTTATAAGTTTCACAAGTATCATAAAACCGTAGAGAAATATCACTTGCACGACTCTCACTCGTCACGGAAAATGCTCGATGCATCCCTGGCCCTAAGGTCCCATTACCTTGAAAAAGACCAATGCCAAATGCCACAGCACTAGCTGATGCACGAGGAACCTATTAGAAGAGATACAAAGTGAGCATCTACTTATTCTTTTACAACTTGATAAAAGAAATCAGAAAAACGAGTAGCATGTCCAATTAGAATAATAAAATCACAACAGGTTGAGCACAGTTTTAATTTTGAAAAAATTACTTGAAATGAATTGCTAAGGATGATATGGCACAAACATTCATAATTTAACTAAATTAAATTGCTATAGCATCTAACATACTGGTCAGGAGTTGCAAGCGTTAGTTATTTTAATTTTAATGTTGTATACCAAATGATGCAAAAAATGAGTTCAGGATGACAACAACCAAAGTTATAAGACAACATTATACATACATACATACATACATACATATACATATATATAGATAGATAGATATTTTGTCCACTCCCATAGCATGAATAAAAAGACACAGTAGATAACATTCGGTTCTTGATTTTACCTATATGAATTGTACTGATGCTACAATTACCCTTCTCCACCTAAATTTATTCGAGTATATATCGTTTTATGTAATATTCAAACAAAAGATCACACCATTGATTGTGATATATAGTAAAAGAATTACAATATGAATTGACTTTCAACAATTTCATGATGACTTAATCGTTAATTGAAGATGTAAAAATTACACAGATAATTGAACAACATATTAAAGCCAATTTAAAATCTAATTTTACCTTTGGGAATGAAAACCGCCAATGTGTGTAAAATATTATCAGCAACCAATGCATTTCATTTCATACGATTAGAAAGTCCTTGTACTCTGAAATATTAATTATCTTATCATGCAATCTGAGCTATTATTGTGTAAATCTAAATGTATTTGATTGATATCATAAAGGACAATAGAATTTATAATGTTAAATATAATAGTAGTTTTGTTCTTATAATTGAATTTTGAAACGTGGGGAGATAATTGGCTGGAGAATGCTAATTTTCCCCCCAGGCAGAGATGAGTCCATCCATATAAATATGGTTGCTATTCAAATTTCAATAATAATACTTTTCCAGATCTTCTAGGCATTATAGCCCTAGATCCTCATTCCCAACTTAAACTTCACACCACCTCGCCCCACCTGACACCTCATCGGCTAGCCTTCACTGCCATCAGTTCAAGTTGTTGCTGTTGTTTCCCCTAGAGTTCCTCAACTTTCAGAGCACTTACAACTTGCACTCCTCAGTCCTTCAATGAAGTCGATGGGGGTTGAAGGCTTTAAAATCTCAATCGTATATCCAATTCTATTATTTTTTTCAATAAGGATCAGAATTATAGGAACTGGCACAGATTCCACACATAAATTAGAACAAATAATATTTTATCGCAAGAATATCAAACACTTAAGACGAATACAACGATAAGCACCTACAATTCGATAGGTAAGGAATTTCTCCCAATTCCTACAATTCGAAGGTAAAAAATCTCTCCCAAACCCTAACTCTGAGAATCAAAACCCAATCTCCTACATACCCCAACCCTAAATATATTAGCCCTATTTATACTAACAATAATAATAAATATAAAAAGCTAAATTGCCCTTAAGCTAATAAAAGATAAATATGCCAACATAACAATGCTCCCTTCGCAAAAAGACACATTGAACTCAAGGTGGGAAAAACTGCTGCTAGATTAAATCGTGTGGCCTCCGCTCATAAACTTGCTTGAGTTTGGTTCTCTTCGTCAACTCTAGCACACTCGTCAAGGTTTTCTTCAACTTCTCAAAAGTCTGGATTGTCATTCTCCCCCACTAAAAGTTATATTTCTTGAATTTCTTCATCCACAGCCACACAATTAAATTATAACTCTTCACGCACTTTTCGAATGTATTATGTACGTCACCTAAATCTGTGTATGTCACCTAAACCTTCCCAACCCCTTTCATGTCTTAGGCAGTGGCCCCTCCAACCTATTTGTTACCTTCAATGGATCCGTTGGCACCAAGAACTTGCATTAACTAGGGTCACCGTGATGCACCACCGTCTTATCTCCCTCTTGAAACTCCATTGTCAAAAGCATACAATCCATCTTAGAGTCCATTTGGGGCGGCAGTGCGGCGGCGGTACGACATTATACTGTAGTTTTGTCTGTTTGGATAAACTATGTTTTGACAACTTTTTCAAAAAACTGCAGCTAAAATCTACTTTTTCCCACCACTCATGGCTAGGTGCGATGACAGTTTTCTAGCTACGGTCTGACTTTTAAAAAAATATATTTGTAATAACAATCGCAACTTTTTTAGCATGAGATTATTGTCCAACAGCTTCACAACTGTTTTTTAATAAGCTGCAGCTTCCCTAAATAGACCCTTAGTCTTCCCTACGGATTGCAAACATCTCATACCCCATATCACGCCAACGCTCCCTAAATCTAAGAGAAGAAACTCTTCCACCACCTGGCAATATTAAAATCACTCCTTTACAAACTCTCATGCCCTTCTCTACATGTCCCATCCCCATTATAACTTTAAAACTTTCTGTGTCCACCATCACAAGCCGCAATTGCTTCACTATTTGAGTAAAGATGAAGTTGTGGGTTCCATCACTATCTATCAACACAACTACATCTTGCTCTTTGATCTGCCCCTGAAGTTTCATAGTGTGATTCAATGCTAATCTCACCACCGAGTTCAATAAGACTTCTTTCACATCTAAGTGACGTGTCCCTCCACCATGGTTTTCTCTATTTTCGCATCCCATGCCTCCTCATCACACTATGAGAATCTGTAATGTCAGACTTTGCAATGGTGTACAGGAAAAAACTTCTCATTGCACCGTAAAGATAACTCATTGGCTTGCTTCTCTTGAATATCTTTCTCTGTAAAACGTTTGAATGTTGCACTTGGTCGTGGCCTCTTAATCCTATCCTGTGGAGCCTCTCTCTGGACTTCCACTATTTGAGTTTTTGGCATCATTGTGGTTGTAACATTGTCGTGTGACAGTTCACAAGTCTTGCTCGTTCCATCACATTTTTATCTTCTACAAAATATGCTAATTTCATAGTTTCCCCAAATCCTCGTGGCCTCAGCATGTGAAGTGATGCTCAAATCTCTGGCTTCAACTCTTTTCATGAAGTTGTATTCTAACTTTTGATATCCCTCTCAACGGCTGGATAGTATCTCAAACTTCTCCCACACTCCATGACGGATCTTTCCTGGACCAAAGCAAAAACCTGCTCACGTAAATCCCCATCTGATGTGGTTCTGCAACACTCTAATAATTGAACATTAAGTTCTTCCCATGTCCAGATTTGCTGACACTATTCTCCCCATTGATACCATGCTAAAACCTTTCATTCCAAACAAAAAACCATTAATTTTTCTTCCTCTATCAGCCCATTAATAACAAAATATCTCTCCACACAATATACCTAACAATAAGCATCATCTCTTTCAAAGATGGGCATCTTCAGTTTCTTTATACATGGCTGCCCTCCCCCATTTTCTTGACCGAGCTTCATTCTACCCATAAAACAGGGGTTGGATTCCCTTCCTCGACTCATATTGATTTCTCTTCTTCCCTAATCTGGCGCCCCCACAATTAGCTCACCCGTACCCATAAGCTCCAAAATTGCCCTCTGCTCGGAAGGTTGTTAACAGTCAATGGTGCAGTTGGATGCAACCCCCTGTCAGGTCCCACCTACCATGATTCCCTGTTCCAATTTGAAATCCTTCAAATTGATCTTCTCCTGCCTCGAAACGCCCGTCGTCTCATTCTGGCCGCTGCCTCTCATTCCAATCATCTGGATGTCGTATCATTCCTTTCAAGTGCTGACGCTTGAGTCTGCTTCCCATTCCTTCACCCGATCATGCAACTCCAAATTCTCCTGGGACAGCGATGTTGCCTTGATGTAGCGCGAATTTTTCTGATTGCTGTCGCTCGCGTCCATTCTAAACGCCATCACTTAATCTCGCAATAGGCGTCAGAGTGTTTGTGTGGGACCCCACAATCTTCTTTATCATTTCATCTGGAGTTGCAAACATCCCCTCCATGGCTGAAAACACTTCTCTATTTTAGATCTGATTTAACGGACATCTTCCACTAGTTTTTCCTCCAAAGCATCCACATTTTTGGACGCATGACTCCTTGTACGGTTTTGAAACTCATTTATGCTAAAATAACGAAAACGTGCATGTTAACCTAGATACCGTGATCCCGAAAATCATGTATGCGGATCGAAGGAACTATTGGAAGCCAAGCGGAACACTGAAAGTCGCAATCCAAATTCCTGTATGTCGCAGATCCCAATCACTAGTTTTTGTCACGAGCAATACAGAACTCCTTTATGCCATGATCCTGATCGCACATGTCGATCAAGAGCCGAGTGGAACTCATGTACCCCACGATTCGTTGTCTGTACGCAGTGATACCAAGCGTTGGCTTCCCAATGACTGTGAGTTACTTGATGCTGTGATCCTCACCATGCTAAGTCGAATCATGACTGACTCGCAAAAAAGCAGTACTTGTATGTCGAGATCCTCCCCAACAAGCTTGAAGCACAACTGACTAGCAAAGGGATGCCAAAGGAATTCCACAATGACTGCATCAACGAGTGTCGAAGAGAAAGATGGAAGTTTCGAGTCGTTGTACGCCGCAAGCCCCGACGTTCGCTCCCTAGGTGTTGGAATCCCACCGGCCTTCACAAGTGTTACTTCATCGCCTTCCCTAAGAGCTTAACTCTCAATTGTATTGCGATTGTTTGGGTCACCATACGCTGTGATCCTTTCTCCTCCCAGACGATTGTGATCCCGTAGGTCTTCCCTAGTTCTCGATGTGATTGATTAAGACGCCTTGATCTGCGATCCCTTACTCCTCGATTCCTTCTTCATCGGAGATTGAGTGCTCCAATACCAATTTAGTAGGAACCGACATAGATTTTTGTGCAGAAATTAGGCAACACAACTAATATTTTATTGAAAGAACGTCAAATACTCAAGATGAATACAAAAATAAGCACATACAATTCGAGAGGAAGGCGATCTCTCCCACACCCTAAGACTCAAGACC